AGTGAATTCCATGAGTTAATCACTCTTTGGGCGAAGAAGTACTTCCTTTAAATGGATAGATCTCTCCTGCATGAATCTGGCTAATCCCCTTTTAAAGACACCTATGCCCGGGGCCATCACTATGTCCCTTGCCAGCGAATCCCACATTTTAATCTCTCACTGTGTTAAGAGGCATTTCCTTTTGTCTGTCCTGAACCTGCTGCCCATCGGCTTCATTGGATGCCCTCCAGTTCTAGTATTTTCAGAGACAGAAAAATTCCTTTGTCAACCCTCTCCACCCCACATCTATATACTATTAGCCACCTGTGAGGATAGCTTAATCTGTGGATTGGGGCCACATGGAGGCTAAGCAGAGTTTTCAGTGCACTTGGGGGACTCCCCAGGTGTACAGAAAAATCTGAAATGTTTAAATCCCCCCCCCCCACTTTTTAAAAAATTGAAAGGTGCTGTCTGAGTAGGCACAGACAACACACCTCCTTTGCTTCTAATGTGGTGGTTACTAGGAAACAGGGCTATTTTTGGGCAGAAACACACAGGAACGGAGTGCCGGCTGGCTCCTGAGTTGGCCACGTCCAGCAGGAACTCATTAGCATAATAGGCCAGACCCAACAGCAGAAACTCATTAGGATTGGCTACATTAGGGGTGTGTGGCCTAACATGTAAAGGAGTTCCTGCTACAAAAAAAGGCCCTGGGTTTTGACAACAAACAAGGTAAACAGAATAAGAAGCAAAAGGTGGGTGTGGCTGGATGACCACACTTCTGGTAACATGGGGGTGCGGCCTAATGTGCTAATGAGCTCTGCTGTCAGGGGTGTGGCCTAATATGCTAATGAGTTTCTGCTGTTGGGTGTGGTCTATTATGCTAATGAGTTCCTGCTGGGCTTTTTCTACAAAAAAAGCCCTGCTAGGAAACACTCCAGGCCCACCTGCAACAGTAGCTGGGCTCAGGCGCCGCAGCAGAGCTGCTCGGGGCTGGCTGCAGTGGCAGCGCACACTGAGAGCTGCTCAAGGCCACGTCACCGCTTTGGTGGATGCCAGGAGCAGCTTGGGGCCTGGCTGTGGTGTCCACACACATAGGGAGCCACTTGGGGCTCGGCTGTGGCAGTGGTGCACGTTGGGAGCCGCTCCAGGCTTGGCTGCAGTGGTGAATGCTGGGAGCTGCTCAGGGCCTGGTCATGGCGGCGACAGATGCCGGTAGCTGCTCTGGGCTTGGAGCAGTTCCCAGACAGAGCTGCCACGCAGTCCAAGGTGAGCAATTGGGCCTGGACGTGCTGGCTCATCAATGGGGGGAGAGATGGGATTCCACGCCATGATTCTTGTGGCCCTCCCTTTAAACCTCTATCATGCCCCCCCCTTCCAGTCGTCTCTCTTCTGAACTGAAAAGTCCCAGACTCTTCAGCCTTTCCTCACAGGGAAGCTGCTCCAACCCCCTCATCATCTTGGCTGCCCTCCTCCGTACCTTTTCCACCTCTGCAATGTCCTTTTGGAGATAGGTGACCAGGTATGGTGACCAAAGCAACCTGACCCTTCAGAATCTTTCTCTGCCCCTGCCCTTAGTGTAAGTACCACTCACCATGACTAGCAAGAGTCCGGTGGAAAAAGAAATTGTTCTCTGAAGATGATGCCGCAGTGTGACAGGCTTCTTAATTTAACAGTCTAGGGACGCAAATTAGCTGCTGGCACCTAAAAGTATATTTGCACAAGCCAATTATATCCACCGTCCAACTCATACAATTACTGATGGATCAATTATGGACTATTCCGAATGCCTGGGAGACAGCATTAAGCCATCCTCCGTATCTGATGAACTGCTAGGTCTGGCTGATTGGCTGTACCCGGAAGACTGTTATCTTTTTTTTGGCAGAACGGGTTTTGATTGGCTGCAGCGGAGAGGTTTCTCTCTCTCTTTTTTTTACAAAGTAGATTTGGGAGACCCTGCTCTAGGGTCTCAGGCAGAGGTCTTTCACATCATGTAACACCATCCTCTTAAGTGGAGATGTTAGGATTGAACTTGGGATCTTCTGCACGCCGAGCAGAGGCTCTGCCACTGAGCCACAGCCCCTTCCCCCAAGATATTGAGTCTTGGTCACGTGCCCAACCATGCCAATTCCTTGTGCTGGCCAACTCTGAAGAAATCCCCCCCACACACACACACACAAACACCAATCCTCCCATTATATTTGAAGGCGCCCTGCCTTGCAACTGCATTAAAGTTAAAACCAATCAACCAACAAGAAAGACTTCATGCATCTGCTGGGGTCACCAGCTCTGTGTTGGAGGAGGTTTTGGGGGTTTTTTTGGGGGGGCGCCCTGCCTTGCAACTGCATTAAAGTTAAAACCAATTAACCAACAAGAAAGACTTCATCTGCTGGGGTCGCCAGCTCTGCGTTGGAGGAGGTTTTGGGGTTTTTTTGGAGGTTTTGGGGGGTGGATCCTGGGGAGGGCGGGTTTGGGGAGGGACCTCAGCATGGTATAAGGCCACAGAGCCCACCCTCCAAAGCAGCCATTTTCTCCAGGGGAACTTATCTTGGTCGTCTGGAGATCAATGGTAATATCAAGAGATCTCCGGTTACCACCTGGAGGAGGTTGGCAACCCTATGTGGGTCTCCCTGGTCCTAGTTCAATGCTGTGACAATAGGGTTGCCAGCTCTGGGCTGGAAAATACCTGGAGATTTTGGGGGTGGATCTGGGAAAGGGCGGGGTTTGGGGAGAGGAGGGGCCTCAGCAGGGTACAATGCCAGAGAATCCACCCTCCAAAGCAGCTGTTATCTCCAGGGGAGCTGATCTCTGTAGTCTGGAGATCCACTGTCATACCAGGAGATCTACAGGCCCCACCTGTAGTACATCTAATTTGGCTCTGAGTTTTAAACTGGGCTCATCTAATTTGGCCCCGAGCACTGAAACGGGAACTCCCCAGCTGGTAGCATATTTGCTCTTAACAGCTGCTCTGCATTAGTTCTTGCTTCCATGTGTGCGTGGACATTTCGACGTGCTTGGTAACTGTTGGGTCGGGTCCAGGAAGTGTTCCGGTACACCCAGGAAGAGGGATGTCTCCCCTGCTTGCATCTACATCAATAGCTGAACAGGCTCCGCTTGCTTATTCAGCTCTCATCAAAGCGACACGAAACAGGCTCGAGCGCACCAATCAGCATGCTGGAGCTGTTCCAAGCATCCTCGGATGACCCGTAGCCCACGATGCTGCTGCAACCCTCGGAAATAATTTATGCACTGAAAGCAAACCAGCCGACTGAGGTTCAGCTAGTTAGCGGTTGCTGCCACTGACAAACCGAAAAGATCTAGCCAGCCCCCCCCATCCATTTTCTGCATTCCTTTAGGAAACACACAGAGAAAGGGGGTGGGGGGAGAAACAGATTACCGGCAAGGCAAGGGAAGACCAGACTGCAATGAGTCAATAACAGTGTCTTTCAATTCTAGGTTCTTACTTAACAAGCTGACGTAAAAGCCATCTACAAGATTCATGGGAAACAGGCTTGCTGGCGAAAGGTTCACGACTCCCCGAATGCCCTTAGGAGATCCTGTAAGTCTTTCTTTATTGGAGCGGGCATTGCAGGGTGGTTGATTTTACGGGCTGATTTAGGGCAAAAACGACCAACGGTTCCTTCTGCACAAATCCCACTGATTATAGACAAGCAAATGTTATTAGAAACCTTCTTTCCTGCTGTCTGAGGCTGAGTCTATAGAATCAGGATGATTACATCACAACCCTGATAGGAGTTTCGAGAGGGTAGCCCTCTTGGTCTGCAGAAGGGCAAGATTTGAGTCCAGTAGGACCTCAAAGACCAACAACATCTCCGGGGCATAAGCTTTCGTGACCTTCAGCAGATACATCCGACAGAGCAAGCTTTGACTCTCGAAAGTTTAGACCCTGAAAATCTTGTTCGTCTCTAAGGTGCTACCAGACTCAAATCTTGCTCTCAAACCCTGATAGGAGTGTGCCATTTCAGACAGCTGGGAGGGTGGTGGGGGAGTTTGTAAACTAGGAATTCAGGAAGGTGGGTTTAACCTGAGCCTGCTCGCGGGGAGGGCGGGGTACAAATTGAATCACCAAAATAAATAATAAAATAAAAATAACCTACCCCTTTTGTGAAATTACGTACCTTCTTACCTCTTCTTGGATGCACACCTTAACATGGTGACCGGGGGGGGGGGGTGTCTGTGTGTGTCAGCAAAGCTGAGAGCAATACTCCTAGCAGAGTCACCTGCTGGCGGAATGGGCAGAGCTGAGACATCAGAATGAGATGCGACCTACCTCACAGGGTGTCTGTTGTGGGGAGGGGAAGGGAAAGGAGTTTGTGAGCCACTCTGAGACTCCGAGTAAAGGGCGGGGTATAAATCCAATCACCTCCTCCTCCTCCTCTTCTTCTTCTTCTCCCCCCCTTTCAGGGATCAACAGCCACATCAGCGGAAGAGAACGGACAGTCCCAGTGGGGAGGGGGGTGGAGGAATCCTTGAAGGGTAGCAGCTACTGGGCAGCAGCAGTAGTGGAAGGGGACACTGGCGGAAAACCTTTCATAGACAACAGCAGTGCCACTTTGGCTAACCATGGTTAGTACAATGCAGAAGAAGGCAATGGCAAACCACTTCTGACCAACTCTTGTCTTGAAAACTCCATAAGCTGGAAATGACTTGACAGCACTTCACACCCACACAAGGCTTGATTTTTTTTTTTTTTTTTAAAGTGACAGAACGGTTCCATAGCGTTCCAAAGTTTTGGTGCCATGACTTGTAACGTGCAGAAGGCGGCAAGGGTAAACCACTTCTGATTATCTCTTACCTTGAAAACCCTTTGATAACAGAAGTGCAAAAGGTGTGTGTGTGTGTGTGTGTATACACATCTGCATATACATATATATATGCACACATCTGCTACATTCCAGCAAAGATGTAACACGTTAATAGCAACAGGAATAAAGTGGATTGAATCAAGCTTTCCGAATTCTTCTCTTGGAGCAGTTTTGAACCAAAGGGCTCCTTCTTACCTTTGCCGAGGGAGGTGGCAATTCCATTCATTAACTGGGACAGGGACTTGCTAGGGGATCCGGGGATGTCTGAGGCTGCCAACGGGTTACTACTCAGGAGGTCAATCTTTCCAGCTTGCTGCCGAAACTTTTCCAGTTCCTTGGAGAGGAGATTAAACTGCTCGCTCTGCGTCCGACATTTCTCTTCTAGCTCGCGGACCTTGGCCTGAACAATTGAGGATAAAGGAAGGGGGTATCATCTGAGTAGGATCACAAATAGGTGCCCACGTCCATCAAGATCTCAAAGGGCGGAAGCACTCAACACTTTGTCTTGTCACATGTGCAATCTCGGTGATCCCGGTTTGCATGGGCAGATGTAATGTGTGCGGTGGATGATCTCTGCCTTCGGGACTGGTCACATGCTTGGGGCGCCCTCATGCGATCCCCCTGTGGCAGCACGGAAGCTCATAACCCGACCGGGATTGAACAAGACAGACCAACTGTAGGATCCAAACCTGCATGCAGGGGGGTCACACACATCGCTGGGTAGTTTGTGCAATCAATGGCAGCTCGAAAAAGAGCTGAACTGTGTAATCAGCATGATTAATCTCCATGTAGAAGTACCAGCTCATGCAATCAGAACTCCCCTGGGATCCTAGCTCGGTCGCTTGCTTGCTAGTAGCTCCTGTGGCAATTCTTGGGGGGGGGCACTGTGTGTCTGGACTGGACCACCACAAATGACAGTCCCTGTGATTGTGGCCACCGGAAGAAGAGGGCTGTTGCAAACATGGTATTTTTCCGCATTCTCATTTTTCTCGCCTGTAAGTTCCTGTTTCTTCTGGGTTTTTTTTTTGTTTTGTTCTGCACGTGCTTTACTCCTTGTGGTGGTTGATTTGATCTTACACTGATTTATCTCTGGCATAAAAACCTGCCGTTTAAATCTGCAGGGAGCTATGCCAGGCACAAACCAGTGTAATATCAAATTGACCACTAGAGGGAGCAAAACATTTGCAGAACTGAAAAAGTCCCCAGAAGAAATGGGAATTTACAAGGAAAATAAGAATGTGGAAACCAATAAGAACAGCTGCTTGCAACAGAAGGTATTGCCTAATACTAGATATTGCAAATACAATAAGAATAATATGCTATTTATATATTACATTGGTCCAGAGGAGAGTATGCCTGAAAGCAGCTGGGACCATGCCCGGCTCAGACAGAAAATGAATTGTATGAACTCTGCCACAGATTACTAAGAATAAGGAATAGGCAGCTAATTGATAAGAGTAAAGAAGGAGCATCTGTGTCCCCCCTTCACACAACCATTTCAGTGTGACGAGATGCAACGACCTGAACAGGGCAATGAGAATGGGAGTTTCCCAGTATCTTTTAAAGCCCAGTTACAGCTATATGAGGCTCCCGTTCAAATCATGGGTTCACAAAATTCCTTCTACCCCTACATGGCTTTGTTAACAGATGCTAAAACACACACACACACACACACACACACACACACACACCCTGCACTAGAACAAAGTTTGAGTCCAGTGGCACCTTTAAGGACAAAGTTTAATTCTGGGTATAAGCTTATACCTGAAATTAAACTTCGTTGGTCTTAAAGGTGCTACTGGACTCAAACTTTGTTCCGTTGCTTCAGACAACATGGCTACCCACCTGAACATCCTGCACTGTTATAACCTTTTAAAGAAAAGTAATACAGGAAAAAGATGTAACTTGTCTCTTCCCTTTTGATACATAATAATGGAGCAGGGGGTGTTTTCTTTATTAGCAAAACCACTGAAACACTTCTTCCTGCACAGCCCCAGTGTGAACTGGGGTCCCACAGGACTGTAATTCAGCTTCAAAAGTCTCTGGAAGGTCTGTGATCTACATCACATCTAGATTTGACCCTAAGATCTTTCATGGACAGAGGGTGGGGTTTCAGAGTCCAAAAGAACTCTTCCCCATACACAACAGGCAAGGGTGATATAAATGATGAAAAATATTCAAAGAATGATACCAAAATAAGAGGAAGTACGCATGCATATTTAGCGCATCCCGGGGGCCAAAAGGCAAGATGTAAATTAAATAAATTATATCATTTGAACGAGCTGAGGGGACTCAGTTTTTCTTTTTGCCCAACTTCCAGCAGCCACCCACACCCCCCTGCAAACTTTGGGGTATTGACTTCTGCACAAAATATACCCTCCTCTATGGAAATCAGGAAGTGCCTTACAGCAATTGAGAGCAACGATTCTTTGGCCAAGGAGCCATTCTTCTCCTTGCCTGGTAGTGGTTTCCTTTCTTCAGCAAAAGTTCTTTCTCAGTTCTCCTGTCTGTAAGACATCTTTAACTGGAGATGCCAGGAATGGAACAGGAGACCATGCACAAGAGCACTGTGTGCTCTGCCATCAAACAACAGCCCTTCCAAAAAACAAAAAGATGCTTATTGGACCTCAGATTCATGGTGAAGAGGCAGCCTGATCACACCACTAGGCTCTTAAATCATAGCTCTGCAGGCGTGCAGCACACATGCCGAAAATATAAGAACATAAGAGACGCCATGTTGGATCAGACCAATGGCCCATCCAGTCCAACACTCTGTGTCGCACAGTGGCCAAAACCCAGGTGCCATCAGGAGGTCCACCAGCAGGGCCAGAACTTCAGAAGCCCTCCCACTGTTGCCCCCCAAGCACCAAGAATACAGAGCATCATGACCCCAGACAAAGTGTTCCATCTATACCTGGTGGCTAATAGCCACTGATGGACCTCTTGCTCCATATGTTTATCCAATCCCCTCTTGAAGCTGCCTATGCCTGTAGCCACCATCGCTTCCTGTGGCAGTGAATTCCGCATGTTACTGACTATTTGGGTGATGAAGTACTTCCTTTGATCTGTTCTATGCCTACTGCTCATCAATTTCATTGAGTGTCCACAAGTTCTTGAATTGTGAGAAAGGGAGAGAAGTACTTCTTTCTCTGCCTTCTCTATCCCATGCATAATTTTGCAAACCTCTGTCATGTCACCCTCAGTCACCATTTCTCCAAGCTAAAGAGCCCTAACCTCTTTAATCTTTCTTTGTAGGGAAGGTGTCCATTCCCCTCAATTATTTTTGTTTCCTTTTTCTGCACTTTTTTCCAATGGGGGTGGGGGCTTGAATACATGAGCTACGATCTGGGTGTGGGTCAAGCAACCCAAGGACCCCTTCTCTCTGAATGGACTCACCAGCACCTAGAATTTATAGTTGCAAATACATCTTAAATATTACAGATGTTCTTTGGGTGCTCTAAGGCGCATGAGAGGCACCTGTGCTACTGCAGAGTACTTCGCCACAGGGGAACTATGTACACATAGATAAATGGGCTTTATTTATGCAGTCTTCCCATAGTTTCAAGAATGGTGTCAATTAGAGAGATGTGTTTATGGGGTTCTGCAGTTACACGCTTATAACACCCAGGTCCGAATGCACACCTGCCATTTATGTTTTGTGTTTTGGATGGCAGAAATAAAAAACAGGGACAGGAAGAAGTGTTTGCTGGCTTCGGGCATTGGCTACCTGGTTAGACGCTGTTGGACTGGACAGAGCTCTGGACTGGGCTGAGACTTCTTCACACAGTACAATCCATGTATGGAATTCACCGTCATATGGGCTGGTGCGGCATCACGGTTCCACTGGGGTCCTCGGCGTGGCGCCCGAGGCTGTCGTGGCACCCGCTGACACCTTTCCTGGTGCACGCCAAGTGTTTTAAGAAAGTGGGCAGGGCCAGCGGCGGAGGCCAGGTGAGGAACGCCAGGCTGCCGCCACCACTGTCTGGTTGGGAGAATCCCCTCTGAGGCAAGGCAAGGTGAGTGGGGTGGGAGTCAGTGAGCCGCTGCAGCCGTCGCTCTCTTTCCATCAATTAAACTACCCCCCCCAGCACCCCTCCCCGGAAAAACCCCTGGCTACGGGCCTGCCGCCAGGCACAACCTCTCAGCCTAAACCTATCCTCACAAGATTGTTGCTGTGAGGATCAAGGGGGGGAGAGAAAGAGGTGAGAAGCCACTCTGGGTCCTCCATAAGGGAGAAAGGGGGATATAATTTTTTCCTAAAAAATAGTAAGCGCACAATGCAGTGATGGCCACTAGTTTAGTTGGCTATAAAAGGGGAATAGATACATTCACGGAGGAGAGGTCCATGAATGGCTATTAGCTAAGCTGGCTAAATGGAACCTCCGTGTTCAGAGGCAGTAATCCTCTGGATGTCAGTTGCTGGAGGGTAGGCAGTGTGGAGGGCTGAGCCTTTGCCCTAAGGCACTGCTCGGGGTCTTCCCAGGAGCATCCTGTCGGCTACCGTGGGAAACAGGATGCTGCATTCAATGTCATTCTGGCCTGATCCCAAATGTCTTTCTGGCTGGTCTGAAAGATATTTGCACATGTGAAACAGCTCCTGCAAACCTGGATGGTATGAAGTGGCCAGGAACCAAACAGACTTTCTTCCGCTCTGTTTAATATCAGCCTCCTCGTCTACTAGGGTTGCCAGGTTGGGAAATTCCTGGAGATTTGGGGGGTGGGGGTGGAGCCTGGGGAGGGCAGCGTGTGGGGGAGCAGCAGGGTATAATGCCATTGAGTGCACCATCCGAAGCAGCCATTCTCTCCAGGGGAACTGATCTTGGTCATCTGGGAATAGTGGGAGATTTCCAGGTGCCTCCTGGAGGGTGGCAAGCCTATTATCTCCTCATTAAAGCAGCCTTGGTCATTCCAGTTGGGCATCAACCAGAGTCATCTCAGATGCTGTTAGATGTTTCCGTCCCCAGCACGGAGTTCGGAGACCTCAGTGCAAATACAGTGGGAATGAGTTTGCAGCTATTCGCCTCAAAACGCTAGAGCAGGGATGACCTAGTTTAATATCCTCTGCTCAGCCACAATCGTTCAGTTGGGCAAACAGTCTTGGTGCTTTATTTTTAATTGGTCCTTTGTCTCAAACGTTTCTCAACGGTAGATTATCCTGGTTGTACTGTACATAAAGCAAACACCAGGTTTCCAGATGGCTTCCCACCAATGTTCCCTCTAAGCTGTCGAGTCTTTTGAGCAGAAATTCTACTTTGTGAGCTACTGGCATTAAAGTTGTGAGCGAGCCATTTGGCTACTGCATACATTAGTTTGCTCTGTAGCCATCCTTCCTGAACTAAGACAAAAATGTGTGAGCCAGAGGTTAAAAAAATGTGAGCTAGCTCACACTAACTCAGCTTA